ATGGCTCCCATGACCTTCCGATTAGAGCTCAAGTCCTTAGCATGGTTCTCGAGACTCTCAAAGATGTGGCGCCTATCGATCTCCCCAGCCTCGAGGAACACCATTCCATTCCTTGTGTTCCAGCCCTCTCATCCGTTTCACTTCTCCGCTACCTCTTGCTTCCACGGTGCTGTGTGTCACTTCCTCTTCCGATGGCCCTTCCCTGCAGTCTCCATTTAGAAATTCTCAGTCCTCAGCGTAGGATCTCTCTCTTCTCTGAAGCCTTCCTTGGCAGCCCCTGCCGGGAAATGTGTTAAAAATACCTTCTTTTTTTCCCCCACAGAACCCTGCATTGGCTGGTTTGCTCTTGTCTGTCTCCATCCCCTGGCTACATGGGGCAGGTCCCTTTCTTGTTCACAGTTGACTCTCAGGGCCTGGCAGGATGAGTGGCCCAGAGCAGACCATGGACTCAAATTTCCCTGTTGGGCACACCACACGCCTCTCCATCCACACCAGAGGTGGAAGGCCACTGGAAGGAGTCATGGCCCATAGCACCAGTCTCCTCTGTGGTGCTAAAATCCCCCTGAGGAATCATTCCTGAGATTGGTGTGCAGCCGCCCGGAAATGATTCATGTTTGAACAGAAACATTTGACACTGCAGAGCACCCAGAGTCTGGGAAGCTCGGCAAATATTAGACATGTCCGCGAACGTCCTCTGGCTCTCTGAGGTAAGAGTGGACTTCAACCATACAGTTTCTCTACTATATTTTTTTTGCTTTAAGATTTTATTTATTCATTTTATCTGAAGTGGGGGGTAGGCACAGAGGGAGAGAGAAAGAAAATCCCAAGCAGACTCCCTGCTGAGCTTGGAGCCCAACATGGAACCTGATCCCAGGACCCTAAGATCATGACTTGACCCAGAACCAGGAGTCCAACGCTTAACCGACTGAGCCACCCAGGTGCCCCTAGTTTCTTCTGTTTTGAATGAAGGAGAACTTCCAACATGGACAGAGCAGTAGAGCATCTTATCTGGGGTTGGATAAGACTGGGGCTGGGATAAGGATGGGGAGCATGCAGTATTCAAAACTTTCTAAGTCCCAGGATAGCCTTGGGGAACAAGGGAAGGGAAAATTCTAAAAGAAAGAAAGAAAGAAAGAAAGAAAGAAAGGGAAAGGGAAAGGAAAGGAAAAAGAAAAAGAAAAGAAAGATAGATATGGCAGTTACAGTGAATTAAGGTGTAAGATTCGGACAAGTGAGGAGTGTCGATTGAAAGGCCAGGCAGGGGCCACAGGTGTAGCTCTGGTGAAGAGAAACAGAGACTAGTGTATGGAGACAAGAAAGCAGAGCTAGATGGAGCCACAAGAATCATCCAAACCATTTACAGATGAAGAAACTGAGGCCCAGAAAGGTGAGGGGATGGCCAGGTCAGCAGTCCTGTAATAAGTTAGTGTCAGAGCTGGAGGGACGAGTCAGTGCACAAATCTAAGTCTTTAGCTTATTCTATCTACTCTCTTGTGGTATCGTGCATGAGAAACTCAGCTCTGAGGATATTAGTATTCTCCTTCTCCCCCCCCCACAACCCCTGATAAGAAAAGTAGGTAAAATATAAGGAGGAAATGCACTGGGGGCATTTCAAAAAAACTCGAAACTTTCTATGATTGGTGATCATATATATCATTTGGAAATGATAGATACCACATATTCCAATTTATATATATATCCAATATATATCCAATATATAATATATATATTCCAATACATATCATTTGGACATATCAATACCACATATTAAGGCCAGGCATGGCACTGGTCTTAGTGTGCATCTTCCCAAGACATCCTGAAAGGTATCTGTCATTACTATGCCATGCAGAGAAGGCAGAGGGCTGATGGGGACAAAATGACTGACCGAAGGTCACACAGAGCTCACAAGTGGAGGGGCCAGAACTTCCAGCAGGTCTTGTCTGCTGCTGTATAACTACACAGAGAGATTTTGCTCATTTTCCATAACAACAACAAAAAAAATAATTGAGGAAAATAAATAACGTATTGAGTAGAGTAATTTACAGTTCATGAACTGCTTTTAGTGCAAGGCTATCCATTCCCTCCAAGCACTTGGCATTGCTGTTGGATGGGTAATACCATCCACGTTTTACAAATGAGGAAATGGAGGGACGCGGCAAGCAAGTGTCCTGGTTCCAGGTCCCCTTAGAACCAGATTCAAATCTAGGCTTTCTTGCTCCAACCTACGTCCCTTTCCATAATACTAGAGCTGAAATCAAGGAAAGCAACTGAAAGGAGAGAAATGCATTTTAAGTTTAAAATATTCCCTCAGATGTTTTCAGCAAACATTCTATGAAGGCCATTCAACACTAGATTACAGTTATTCTAAAGTACCCACTTGAAAAAAAAAATGAGGATTTTAAGGCAAAATATGTGTTTCTGTTCTCCTTCACTCTGCTTCAGTGGGCTGACCCTAAATAAGGCACAACAACCCAGCAAGCATCCTTCAGGCTTGCACTTACTGAGACGGGGGGAGGTGGGTGGGACAGCCTTTGTGCGAGACTCTTCCGGGCAGGTGGCGTGCTGCAGGTAAGGCCTTTACACGGACTCAGCCACTCACTAGGGCGGTCATCTGCCAGGTGTTGGGGCCACAACCATGGTAGAATAAGGAAAGGTTCCTGCCCTCCGGGAGCATGAACTATAACCAGGGCAGACATATGTTGGAGCAATGACAACATGACCCAGCACAGGTGTGACACAAAGCAGCCCCAAGGTGTCGTGGGAGCACAGGGGACAGAGCTCAGGAAGGCTTCCCATCAGAAGGGGCATTTGAATTGTCATGAAGGGAAGAGGGGAGAGAGAAAGGTTCATTCTAGGCAGAGAGGCCAGTGTGAGCAAAAGTTAGGGTATAAAAGAGCAGAGAATAGTAGAAGACAGTCCTGGCTCGTTCCAGAAATGACGGTTCCCTCAACAATTACATCAAACTGAAAGCACTCTGTCGAACTGGGCCATCATTTGGTAAGCATCTACCGTCACAGGGCAGAGCTGTATGAAGGTGAATCCGCCCACGAGGGCCTCACAACGTGCCCAGTGTGTCTACCTAACCAACATCTAAATGAGTCCCTACTATGCGCAAATCCCCACTTACACTACAGACCACTTAGTTTAACTCTGTGGTGAGCAGACCTCAGTGTTCCCAAACGCGAGTACTGCATTTGATGCCAAAGCTCTTTACCTTCAACATTTGTAAACAAGGATGACATGCCGTGTTTCCCCTGATAAAGGCCTCTTTAGATTTCCCTGAGTGTATCTTGGACCAGACTACAGCGTTTCAGCTGTGAGTCACTGACCAATATTTCTACCCCCGCTTCACAGCTGATGTCTCTTTAATGATTTGCTGATCTGAGGAAGGGAGTTTCTTCAGAAAAGAATAATTCTTTTGATGTGCGTGGCAAGTTGCATTTTGAAAAGCCTTTCTCCACCCATCCTCTCCATCATCCCACTTTATTGTCACAAGTGCCTGGCGGGGTGCAAGGACTGTGAACATCCCCATTCCACAGACAAGAGAATGGAGTCTCACTAAGGCAGAGCCATCCAAGGTCGTGTAGCAAGTGTATGGTGAGATGAGAGCTCAAAACCATGTCTCCTGACTCTTCAGTCCTGCCCTCTTTTCTCTAGACCTTACCATCTGCCCGGAATACAATAATATCGTTCTCATTAGGACGTGAATCCCAGAAGAAATGCTGGTCAAATCACATCCCCTCCAGCAACATAAGTACGGCATAAATTAAAAGACCAATTAAAGAACATGGCCTTTTAACTGGGACTTACCACTGTCCCCCCGGGCAAGAATGTAGAAGTCAGTGGCTGCCATCCTAGAAATTACCCAGAGACCCACTTACCCATATGCAAGAGGCTTTAAATCCAAATTATTCACCTAACTTTATCACCCTTCTGTATGCTTTTCTGGCGCCCCGGCCCCGTGGAGCTGTGTCTGGAATCATCGCCCAAACCTCTACCCCCTCTATGGCCAGAAGACGCAGCAACAGCAGTCCATCCATCCGGGGATAGGTGCCTCTCAGCTCTGACACATCCATCTCTTAACACCAGGAGCCTCAGAACCTGATGAAAAACCCATGCTTCTCTAGTTCAAAGAGAGCATTGAAGCGAGATTCCCTAGCTGTCTCCAAGTGGGATAGTCTGCCAATGGCTAGAGCCCTGGGTGGCCAAGGGGACAAAGAGTGTTATTATACTCCAGGGAGTCTTGTTTTGCTGACAATGGGGGGGGTGGCTAGAAATGAGGTGAGGAGAAAAGGAAGGGGCATTTTGGTTGCTCGCTTATAATTTTGTATCAATTCCCACTCCACCACCAACAGTCAAAGGCAGTAACATGATAAACTCCAGGGATATACCTGGGTCCCAAAACGGTAATAGTTACTACTTCCCCCGTCCAAATTCCCCCCTCCGGTTGCTGGGTTTGAAGCCGACTTTACACATCAAGAGCTGGTGTGCGCTCTGGTCCTTTTCCATGTCACAGCTGAGCTGCAGTGCCCCCCCCCACCCCCCACCCCGGCCCCAGCCAAACCACAGGGAGAACAGGTCTCTGGGTCAGCCCAGATCGCAGAGAATCCTTACCACTGCCCCCTTCACCCCAACGCCGGTCTCTCCGGAACCTGCCTGGGCTTCAGGGGCTCAGAGGAGCTGCCTGTACCAAGGTCTGGACGTGCTCCCTCAGCCTCCATCTGGGACTTCTGCGGGGACCACCTCCTTCACCAGCGTGTCCCCCCACCTATCACCCCAGATTTCCCCTCCTGCCCTCTCAGACCTGCCCGGATGCGCCTGGAGACTAGAGGACAGAGAGCTTGGGGGTTGGGGGGGTGTAGACCGAAGGAGATGAACCACATTTCGCGGCGGAATCCCTGTTAAGTAACAGAAAGCCATCCAACTAGCAACCACGCTTCCAGAAACGTCACTGCCACCGAGGAGAGTTTGCAGCTGCCGACCCCAGCGCTCTCACCTACCTGCCTCCCACTGCAGGGCTCCCCTCGGCTCCGGCCGCGCCGGCTGCCTCCCTCCCCGCTCTCTGCAGCGGCGGTGGGCGCTCCGCGGGGTCCGGGCGCCCGCGAGCTGGGTCTCGGGTGCCCGCGGCGAGGCTGCCTGGAGGAGGAGCGAGAGCTGCCGCCCGCCGCCGCGGTGCTGATGCGGTTGCTATGGTTATGGAACTCCGCAGCTGCCCCCTCTCGGCGCAACAGCTGCCCGGCCGCGGCCTCCGGGCAGCCCCGCGAGCCGGGCCGGCCGGCGAGGCTGGGCGCGGGGCGGGCGCCTGCCGCCGGCACTGCGGAGGAGGACGCGGGGCGGCTGCGCTCGGCCTGCGCGCTCGGCTCTGCGCGGCGCCCGCGCTCCGCTCCCGCCCCCGCCGGGACGCGGCCGCCCGCCCGCTCGCCCGCCCCCGACCCCGCGCCCCGCCCCGGCCCTCTCCGCGCCGCCGCCGCCGCCGCCCCCCCCGCCCCGCCCGCCGGCCCGAGCATGCTCAGTGCGCGGCCCGGAGGCGCCCTCCCGCGTGGCGGGGCTGGGCGGCGGCGGCGCGCGAGGCCCTTCCCGGAGCCCCGGCGGGGTCGCGGGTGCGCTTCGGGGGAGCGGCCCGAAGGCGGCCCGGCAGGTGCCCCGGGCCAGCTCTGAGCGCAGGACCACCGCCCGGCGACCCCATCCGCCCTGCCCACCCGCTGCCGGCCGGCTCAGACACCGGCGAGATGGGGCCCACGGGGAGAGGCGAGGGTTGAGGACGGATGGAGCAGCTGGCGTCCTCTGAGCATCCCTCGCGGGCACGGCACAGAGGGACAGGCCTGCGAAGGCCTGGGGACACGTGGCTTCCCAGATGAGGAAGCAGCCTCAGGCGGGGGGCCAGGGCGGGACTCCGGAGACCCGCGCACAGCCCCGCAGACGGACGGGGCTGCACCAACTCACATCCCAACCAGAAACGCGCGGGTGACCGAGAAACTGCAGCCACTGCGACCCCGGCTAATCCAGTCGGGGCGGAGGGAGGTCATCAAGGCAGGACACCTGAAAGAGGGGACAAGAAGAAGGCGCAGAGGTGAAGTCTGAGGAAGGAAATTCCATCCGGAAGGAGAAGACCCGACGTGCAAAGGCCGGGAGGCCAGGCGGCCAGAGCTGGTTTGACCCGCGCTTGCGATGCAGCAGAAGGGAGCAGAGTGGACCGCAGAGGTTCAAGGGACAGGGTCTGCAAGGGCCTTGAGAGCCAAGTGAGGAGGGCGGCATTCGACCCTAAAGACAACAGGAAGCCACTGAAGAATCTTAAGCAGGAGAAAGGCTGGGTGGCCAAGTTGGCAGTCAACCCCGCCGAAGTGTGGGTGGTGGGGCTAAGGTGGGCGTTAAAGCTCCAAGAAGGGGTGTCAGGATGGTGTTGCTGCCTTCTTGGCCTGGAGGGCGGAAGGCCACCTTCTGTCCGCCTTGTTCTCCTTTCCACAGCACCCAGTGGAGCCTCGCAAAACACGTGTGCTCCATAAATGTGTGGTGCATGGCCAATAATTGAATATTTATTTCTCCATAGAGAAAATGGATTCCTTTCTTTCACGATTTTTCTGTCTTTAAAATGTGATCAAAATCATGTCGCATTTATTTTGCCATAAACATTGCATTTTTAGGCAGCCTTATTTTTGAAAATCAGCACAAGTCCCCAGCGTTCTCCTCTGCCTTAGATGGTCCCCAACAATGCAGATACGGAGGAGAGGAGCACAGGGTTTGCTTGTATCCTGATAGTTTTCAATCGGGGGATAAGAGAGCTCCAGGATATATTGTTACGTGAAAAAGCAAAGTGCAGAACAGTGTTTGTAATAAGATAACTCTTGGGGAAGAAGTGGGGAGACACAAATGTTTATTTGAATTTGCTTGTATTGGCATAAAAATACGCTGGAAGGCCGTGTAAAACACTTGTGAAGTAGATGTTAGCTAATGGGACTGAGGTGGGAGCAGGACTGGGGGGACAAGGTCTGGGTGAGATAGAGTCTTTCAATTATACTTTATTTTGAACCAAAAATAAATTACACACATGCATAATGTGTTACCATCTGTGTCTAGAATCCTAATGAACCTTGGGATAAATTTACATGCAACATGTTCCCCATGGACATATCCCAAGACCTACTCCTCCCACTGCCCCGGTTCCTATGTGACACAATAGTACTATGACTTATTAAGTCTTCCTCTTCAGTCCTGCTATGCCCATGGACCAGAGGTGAGGAGAGAGGAGGACACAGAGACAGAAACGGAGGCCTCCAGGAGGCCAGGTCACCAGTGCTAGCACGAGGGAGCTGTGTGGATGTAATCTTTGTGTCAGTACCCGGGGGTCTTCCCCACGATAGCAGTCACGGTGGCTACGGTCCATGGTGGCCAATGTGATACCCATCGATCATCTGGCTGGAGTGATGTCCTCTGGGCCCAGAGATTCCCTGACCCACTGCCATCCATCCTCATGGATGGGCTCCCTGTAATGTCCCGCTCCAAACTGGTACATTCTCAGACCCACAGGGTGAGGCTCTGAGCAGCTAGGGGCCCATAGGAGGTCTGCAAGGGAAATTCCTGGGGTGAGCCCAAGTGCAACTGGCCCAAAAGCAAAACAAACTCCACTGACATCCCCCCTCTCGGGGAATGACCCACCATCCATCCCAGCACACGAGTCAGAAACCCAACGTCAGCGTAGGCTTCCTGGTCCCTGCCTCATTCTCTCTCCCCACCTCATCTCCCACACATCTAATTAAATACCACCTTCTGTCAATTCCACCACGTAAATAGCTCTCAGAGTCACCTACAACAGGGGCTGGGCTCTACGACAGTGTTTTTTGTTTTTTTAATCTTCAACAGGAGTCTGCAAGTAATGGTGTCTAGAGAAAGGGGTAGAATCTTAGCCTGACGTTCTGAGGTGAGCATCTGCTGATAGGACAGGAGGACACGGATTCTGGGACAGATGCTGAGCCTAATGCAGTCTTCTGGGGCAGTTGGAAGATGATACCCCATTGAAGAGAGCTGAGCACTGAGACAGAGAGCTCATCAGGAGCTACTCTTGGCCAAGTTGGGTTCTGGGGGGTCGAGGTTGCCCTCCGTCACAGGGCTGCAGGGGCTCGAGCCCGTTCAAGATGAGGACGGCATCAGAGCAAAGTGGACCAGCATTTTCTCCTCTGTCCCAGAAGGCAGGTTTTCTAGGGTGACATCCTGTGGCAAGGAGAAGCAACTGTCATGAAATTCTTATCAGAGGCAGCAGTCTCCACAGGATGGGGAGGAAGTTGGAATAGCCTCCCGCTGGGGCTGGGTAAGCAACCCCCCTCCCCCACCCTGCCGCTCTTTTATAAGAACTTGGGAAAAGAGAAATCCCCGAGAGAGAGAAACTTCACTTCCTGCGGAGACAACTTGCCTAGCCTTCCAATCTGGCTTCTCTCTTCCCTTACTGCGTGTCCTTTAAGCTGTAGTGCGACCTAACTGTAGCTCAAGGTCCCCTTCTATAAAACAGGAATGATAACAAAATATACGTCCAGGTTTACTGCCAAGTTTACATGGATTAAAATTTAGAACAGTATCTCATGCGAAGTAGGTGCTCTGTATGTACATGAGCTTTTTTTTTTTTTTTTTTTAATGTTAGACTGAGTTGAGGAGATAGAAGAGGTCCTTGAGATGCCAGGTTATCAGCCACACTTTCTGTCCACACCCTGTGCCCCCACCTTGGCCCAGGACGCACCTGATTTCTTATCCGAAATACGAGAGTAATTTCTTAACAGATCTCCCTAGCCCTGATGCTATCCCCAGTTACCCTCTGCCATCCACATCCTATTGAACTTTTAAAAATGTCCCTCTGGGGACGCCTGGCTGGCTCAGTTGGTAGAGCATGCCACTCTTGATCTTGGGGTCATGGGTTCGAGCCCCACATTGGATGTAGAGATTACTTAAATATGTAAATAAACTTAAGAAATATAATTCTCAATCACTCTGCCTCTTCAGATCCTCCAGGAGTGACTCCAGACTCGAAGAATAAGCTACAACCTTCGTGGCTTAACAGTTTGTGAGCTCACATCGGATTCCCGCTCGCAAGCGCCCTTGCTCTGCTTGGTCCAGAATACTAAGCCTCCTGTACTCTCCAGAAAGCCCCAGACTATCCATGAATTCTTGCCCGTGCTTCAAACCTCTGTCTCGGGGCGCCTGGGTGGCTCAGTGGCTTAAAGCCTCTGCCTTCGGCTCAGGTCATGGTCCCAGGGTCCTGGGATCGAGCCCCGCATCGGGCTCTCTGCTCAGCAGGGAGCCTGCTTCCCCTCCTCTCTCTCTGCCTGCCTCTCTGCCTGCTTGTGATCTCTCTCTCTGTGTCAAATAAATAAATAAATACCATCTTAAACAAACAAACAAACAAAGCTGTGTCTCTATATTCCTTCCTTCATGGAACCTGCTCAGATCTACCTTTGCGTCCACACCTCCTCCACTGAGCCTCTGATACGTGCTTGGAGGATGGTCTCAGAGCTCCGTAGTGTAATCACTTATATAAAAATGTATTTCCCGCACTAGACTGAGGACTCTTGGCAGGAAATTCTTAAAGAATTTTACCCATCCCATAGCACAGTGTCTGGAACATCGAGACAACGCTCAAAAACATTTTAGAACGTTACTTGAATAGATTTTGATTTGATTTTCCTCTCGCGTCTTCATCTTGTCCTGCCGGCCAAAAATCAAAAGTTTGTTTGAGCCATCTCTGCGCTGACGGCAGGTGCTTGGTTACCGTGTTCAATCTGACTGACTGAGGAAGAGATACTCTCTTGAGAGCCAGTCTGATTGGCACGGGGCGGGGAGGGGTGTCAGAAGGAGGCCAAGGCCATTATGCCTCGGGGTGGGTCTGGAAGGGAGCTCCTCAGCGGCGCGCCCGCCCCACAGCCCAGGCCTTCCCGGTTGGGTCTGATCACACTCAGCTCTCATGGATTTCTCTGCAGCGCGTGCAACGGGGAGAGCAGCGGACACGCATCTGGCTCGGGCAGCTCTGACGCACGCCATTCAGTAGCTCATTTCATCTGCACATCAACCTGACGAGAGCCTCTTAGGAGGAAATGGAGACCAGACAGCGGCCCTTGACTAAAGGACGCAGCTCGAAGGGCCCAGCCTGGATGCGAACAGCCAGTCCCTGCTCTCTGCCGTGATGACGTGTCGCCTCTGGGCTCTTAGGAGCGTTGCTGCTGTCATCTGTGAGGCTGCTGTTTGCGAATGCTTTAGGGACCTCACTGCCATCCTCTGAGACGATGGGGCTCCACCTAGCACTCCTGATGCTTGAGACCAGAGGAGTCTTTGTCACAAGGGCTTCCCT